CGGGGCAGTTGAGGGACAGCCCGCTGACTCCTTGAGGAGAAGGAGCGCGGTGTGTTCTGAGGGGCCTCGCAGAACAGTCGCTTTTCAGACTGTGACTCCGAAGAGCACAAAACAGTGCGCTGCTGAATGGAAACGCTCGTTCAGCATTCGCCTGCAGGTACTGGTGGTGCTGTCATTGCAGGCTTCCAGCGTGGTTTCGGTAGGAGCGCGATCTCGGGTCACGTTCTGTTGGCTGGGCTCCCGTATCTTTGTGTTTCGGAACCAACATTCATTTTCTGGGGAATTATTTGCCTCTGTGCAAGAAATTAATTGCCCAATAAACTAAAACTTGGTCAACAGTTGGAACTGTTGTGTACCTACAGCACTGCAGGTGTGTACAGAGACAGTAACTTGCACAGTGCCTTATTCCTCATAAAACACTATGCACTATGATTTAGTATGCAAAAGAGCAAACAGGCCCTTAAAAATGGCTCCCCTGATTTCCAGTAAGGAAAAGTATAATGTTTGGAGGAAAAATAGCTGACAGAACAACAAAAAAAATCATTCCAAGAACAAAACAGGCCACACTAAAATCAATTCATTGAAATTAGGGTCTTGCCAAAAGTAAGCAAGACATCCATGGGAATAGGTAACACCCACTGCTTTCACTGGTAATGTTGTTCCTAGTTTGGTTTCATGAAGAATTCCTTTCAGCTGTAGGTGCTGTATATGGTACTCTGAGTACTTGTTAGAATTCAGGCATGTTACTTGTCCAGGCCTGGGTAAAGAATTTGCACTTGCAATTGTAGCCTACTTCAGAATGAGAGGAGAACCCTCCTGTGTCTTGCAATCTGCTATGTTTCTGTGCTAGGATGGACGGAATTTGAGATGCTTTACAACTTTACATCCTGTTAATACAGCCTTGGTTTGTTAGCATTGATGAGTTGTCTTCAGATGACACGGTCCCCGCTATTGCCGCACTGGCGAATATCTATAGACTAGTTTTACTACCACACAAATAAGTTCTAGCAACGTTTCCTAAGCAATTCTGCCACTTTAACAATACCAGACCTAACCACAGTTTTGAATTCTGCTGCCAAGAGATGGTAATAATTATAAACTTGTTTTTCCTGCTGCTTGAATTGCGATTTCTTTGGTCATCTCTATACTTACTTCAGCTCTGGGTTCCTCTGCCAAAATGAAAAATTATGTTTAATGCTGCTGTCAGGCCATGCAGATTGGCTGCTCTAGAGAATTGGGACTAATGCTTAGAACTTCTTGTGACTGTTGACACCCACATGAATTGGGAGGGAAAAGTAGAAACAGCATTGCCATCCCATGAATTAATGGTCTTACATGAGCTGGAGCAGGAAATCTCAGCATTAGCTTTGATGGCGGCCTGTTGATAAGATACAAGACCCTGCAAAGAGGCAGAAGCTCTCTGATATGAAATTCAACCCGGAAGGAGAGCTCTTCTTTCCTTCCCAGAGGTGGGAAAGTACATTAATGCATGATCTGTAAGACGAAGCTCTTTCCATATATTTGAAACCCAAAATAATTGGCTTTTCGTGTAGCCAGTTCACTTTTAAAATACACTTGGCAAAACAAACAAACAAACCAACCAGTTGTAATCAACTGATTACTTCACATGTCAGCCTTTGTTTCCAAGGAGATGCTCAAAATAAGTTTAGAAACATTGTCTTGCTAAAAAAACCAACCAAACAAACTTGTTTGGGCATATTTTTTCTACATATTTTTGTAATGGGTTGATGAGCCTTCAGAGCTTTTATGGTAAATACAAGCTAGAAATTACTTTGACTAAAAGATGTTGTTGAGGAAGATGGCAAAAATTAGAACCACTTCTGGAAATGCTAAAACTAAACTTTTGGAGCCATTTTATAAGGGAATTTGTTTGCCAAAAGAAAACAGAAGGTAGTTCTCTGAGATGGTGGATGTGCCGCTCTCTCCACACACTAGGTGTGGCAGTAGTGTCTGCTGATTTATCTTAACAAGATTGATGATTTGCCTTCATTACAAAATTGGTGTCCTGTCTGTACATGCAAAACCATCTAGGTAGCTGAAGTGATTGTAATTCAAGCTGTCAGGCCCAGCAGAGAGTAAGCTCCACTTTGATACCACGTAGTTGCTCTGTACTGCTGAAGCATTTCAGTGTGGCTGTTCTTGCTGGTGGTAGGCCTACTCACAATAATTTGAAGGTGTCTTACATGTGATTAAAGGTATGTAAATGAACGGGTTTTTCGTTTCAGCACTGGCCGTATTGCGGCTGTGCCTCTCAGCGCAGCTGTTGACGGATTTAAGTCACATTTGATCTTCAAAGAGATTGAAAAGAAGCTCCAAGAGGTATTTGACTATTTGTTTTACCTACAACAGGATTGTAATTTATGACAGAACACGTGTGAAACCTGGTGGGAATATAGTAGCATCAGTTGCTTTCTCAGTATGGCTCATTGGAACAAATGTTACAGCTTTAAATTTTGCTGTGTCAGGATTTTAAATCATCTTTTTTCAGACAGTTCCTACCTGCGTAAGGGTATTTCAGTAAAGCCAAGTTTAGATTGTGTGTGAGAAGCTTGCTAATGAACACAAGAAACTGTGTGTGTAGTGTTTGTTGCTCGTTTGGTAAGTGTGATTAGAAAAAGAAATGGCATTTTGTCAGACTACATCAAGACAAGACTGTTAGGACAGTGGTAATTTCTCTTAATTGATAGATGTTAATCTAGATGGTCATAGTTTAGGGTAATGGTTGTTTAAATGAAGCCTAACAGGGGATAAATTTGTGTGTTTGTAGAAGGGGTAAAGGTTTCTAAATTACTTTCTGTTTAATTCAAACTATATTAAAAATATTTTGAAGTAAATTAATAATTTGCACTTGACGTGGTCATTACAGGAAGGAGAGCAATTTGTCAAGAAAATCGGTGGAGTGTTTGCCTTCAAAATAAAAGATGGTCCCGGTGGGAAAGAAGCAACTTGGATAGTCGATGTGAAAAATGGTAAAGGCTCTGTGGCGGTTAATTCAGGTCAGTGCTATTTTACTGTGTCATTGCAGAAAACACATGAAACTAATGAAAGGAATATAAATGAGTATTCTATTGAAGCTATAGTGACCTTGAGCAGAAGTGGTGTAGAGCTACCTTAATTGTAAACTTTTCTTATTACTGACACTTTTAACCCGTGACGTTTCAGAGGAAGAATTAAATACCATCTCTGATTTCTGTGTATTGTAGCTGTCGGTTCAGTTGCTTTGTTGGAGACACTGGTAGGCGGTAAGCTGGTCTGTCCTGTCACATTACTTCTCTGCAGCTAGTTAAGCAATAAAACTTGACTGATTTCAATACGGGACCAGCTGACATAACCTTCAAGTTCCATTTTTAAAAAAGGCAGATATAAATAAGACACAGGCTGGGTGGTGGTGGGGAACCCCATAAAAATATTGGAAACAAATCATTTGTACCCTTACCATGGAAATGTCTCGTGTCGGAAGTCATGCATCCTAGTGATGTAAATAGAAAGCCAAGGACAACAGTCTGTCCTCAGAATCTCGTGTATCCATGAACCTGCATCATAAAGCTTTTGATTAAAAAGATGACAGGGGATGATTTGATTTGGAATTCATTGATCTAGTTTGTATTACAGAAAGAAAAGCAGTGTTTTCTGTTGTACGGACAACACTTTATCAAAGAGCTAAGTTTAATAATAAGATGAGTGTAGGAAGAGATGTGTGCAGGTTTTAGCCCTTTGGCCATATATTCTTATTTCTGTCAGAGCATAATAAAATAATTTTTCAGCTTGTTTCTGGTAAGATCCTAAGAACTTCTGGATTTGCATTAATTCAAATTAGTCCTTTTAAGAATGCTCATGTTGTTCCCATTGAAGGAGAGGGCAGGAAATGCTTGAAATATCAGTGATGAGTATCTTCAGAGAATGTCACAGGGGAAAACATATTTACTCTGAGTTGATCTTAATACTGGCAAGTTTAAGCTTGATAAAACTTAAGACAGTTGTCAGTACTTGCAATTAACATTCCATCTGATTCCAAGTAGATTATTACTTCTTTGCAAGGAATTAATTTCCTTAGCACCTTTCAGAAAGGTCCATCTTTCTGCAGTGTCAGGATCGTCTGTGCTACAAGGTGGTACAAATGCCTGTTTGAATGATCTCTTTTTGATATTTTTATAATGGCCCTTATTTGTATGTACTTCAGGTACTATTTTGCTAACCCGTAGTATGAACAGATTCTTCGTGGAGTTGCAGCTTCTCTTACTGTTTCATCTGTCAGTTTGAATCTTCATAGTCAACTCTGTCTTACAGATAAGAAGGCGGATTGTACAATTACAATGGCTGACACTGATCTGTTAGCTCTCATGACTGGCAAAATGAATCCTCAGACGGTAAGTACAGGAAAGATGGGACAGTGAGAGGACACACTTGTTTGTTTTGAGGTACATGTTATCTCAGACATCCTGTAGTTATTCCACAAGGGGATATACTAGTGCTTGCTTTGCAAAGAAAGGAGGAATGTTGGCCCTCTGGAGGGCTTTATGCTCATAGCTGGCATTAGCTTAAGGAGTAATCTTGATGCTGAAAAATGGAAGTTCAGGTGAGCATCCAGTGAATGCTGCGATTATTTGGGGTTTTTTTATTCTTTAGTGTGTCAAAAGCAGCCATAGTGTACAAGTAAACCAGATGTTTAAGTTAATTTTAAGTTGCTGTTCTGTACTTCTAAATTTAAAATGCTCTGGGTAACGTTCCTTCAAGTTTTTAGTCTGTGAAAATTCTTATTTACCCTGTGATTACCAGACTAAATGTGTCTAGGAGAAGATTTAAGGTAAAACACATTATAGAAACGTTGTATATGTAAGAAATTCAGAAGCAGTTACAATTTAACACGTTCAATTTGGGTATTTTAGTGCATGCACTTCATCTTTTTACGAAGTCTGGAGGAAAAAAACCCAAATCTTCAGCTTGTCTGCTTCAAAGCAAACTAGACTTGTAAAATTAGATTAATCCGTAACGAAACCAGTAACAGTTGGGGGGATTTGAGAAAGAAATGTGGCATCTACTGTATGCTGTTGCTTTATCATCTTTGACTGAGATAGTGAACTTTTGTTCTGTGAACTGTTGTCACCAAAATATTGGATGTTCTGCCCTGCTTTGTATACAGATCCATCGTTACGGTAATCCTCTGTTTACTATTCTGCCTTCTAGTGGCAGAAAATACATCTGTTGATGAATGTGAGGTATCTGCTAGAACTGTTGGTGTTCCAAAACTGCAGGCCAGGACCTGCACATACATATCGTACATAACTCTGGGGAGGGGTGCATTTTGGGTAATATGTTGTATTGTATTTCATATCCTCTTTCTTTCTTTTTAGGCATTCTTTCAAGGCAAATTGAAGGTTTCTGGGAACATGGGCATGGCAATGAAACTTCAGAATCTACAACTTCAGCCAGGCAAAGCTAAACTTTGAGCTCATTAGAGTAAACAGTCAGTACTTGATATTCTTGACAAAATAGTAGAATTAAACTAGATTATCAATAATGTGGCGCAGGATGGGGTAGATTGGACCTCTCACCTAAATTCTGTGGTTAGAGACTCTGGGGTAGATTGGACCTCTCTTTCACCTAAATTCTGTGGTTAGAGACTTTAATTCTCTTAATAAATTCCATCAGTTTGTCTATAGGCTCAGCTTGAAGCACTAACTCTTACAAATGGTATATGATGGATATTTTGTGACAGTTTTTGGTTTAATCAATATGAAAAATTTTATAAAATTTAGGGTTGATTGAGCCTACTCACTGTTGTACAGGTTACTTGGGAAGAGAGTGAGGAAGTTTATAAATAATTTGACATATCAATAAATGAGTTGCATTTTTTTGAAAGCTGTAATAGCAGGTGATACAAATGCTTTCAGATTTTCATTCTAACAAATTTGCTGCTGCTTAAATTAAAATGGTCTTATAAAGGGGATCTCTAACAACATTTTTTCAGAACAGGCTTTAGGAATTTCTTATAAAATACTTTTCTTATTACTACTTCGGAATTAAAAAATAAACAAAATATCCAGAAGTAGGTAGGAACTAGAAAGTTGCTTTGAGATTCATGGGATTTGATTATACTTCACCTTGAAAACAGATTAGGTTTGCCAGGAGAGCAGGGAAGGAAGTATAACCAACATTTTAGCTGTTTTCTCCTGAGAAAATCTGGTGTTGATCATTATGAAATTCTTACCAGTAATGTAAAAGCTTTGACTTCTGTTTTGGGAAAATGTATTCTGATTGGAAGTTTAATAGAAAATTAAATATACTTCTCCCGTTCTTCTGTGTGTGGTTTCCTCAGATTTGTAAAGATGGATTATGCTGGATGGATCATGTTAATGCACTGAATGGGCTGCTTCGTACAGATTGTCGTGAAGGGCTCCTGCAGTCCTTTGTTGCCTCCCTCCTCAGGCATTGTCAGCAGACACTCCATGAACTACATCTCAGCCCAGTATATACCCCTCACACCCTCACTCGTGGGCCGTGACTGAGGAACTTGCACATGAACTTTCACTTCCCTGGTTTAACTCAAACCATGAAAAAATGAGCCACTTCAGGCAATCATTCTGCTTATCAGGTGTGAATGGGTAGCAGGGTGCTGAGCAGTAAGAATAGCTGTACTGAATCAGACCCAGAATCGATCCAGCTCGCTGCATTTTCTGACCGTTGATACCTGGGAAGGCCTGTGAAGATGGCCTGAACATCTTTTTACCCAGAACACTTTCCTACCTGCCAGGGTTGGTGGGTTTTTTGGATTTTTTTTTTTTTTTTCCTCCCAAACTCAGAGGTTTGAGCCCGAATTGGTACGTCTGTATCTGAAGTTCTTGGCGGATAGTCTGTCGTGAGTTTGTCCAGTCCCTGTTTGAATCCTTGGCAGCCTTTTAGCATGGGTCAGGCATTTCTGTAGCTTACCTACACATCATGTGGAGTTAAATGTATAACTTTTTTATCTTACACATTGCAGTTTTATTGTATACCTCTTAGTTGCTTCTTGTTGTTGTGTTTGAGAGTGGTGGTGGTGTGTGTTTGTGGTGAGTGGGGTTTTTTTTTGGGTTTGGTTTTTTTTTTTTTAAACTGGAAGAAACTGAACAGCTTTGAAGCACCCCTGGTATTTATGGTCTTGCCCTTTCACCTTCAGGCTTCACAGCTTTAAGAAGAGGACGTTCCATGTAACTGTGTCACATGGAGAGGCCCTTGGAATCTTTTGGCCATCCATGTGTCCTTCCTGCACGCCACACCACGACTGTCCTACATTAAAAAGCTTTCAAGATACAAAGCATTATCTGCTTTTATTTTTTTCTTCCCTAGTTGCTTTCCTGACCACCACTAGTTTTGGGCTGATGTTTTCTTAGATCTCTTAAATCTTCGGCCTCATTTCTTTCATGTGAACTCAGTGCTGAAGCTTTTTTTTTTTAATTATGCCATATGCATTGCTTAATTTATAACGAATCTCAACTGTGTTTTACTGTCCAGGCACTCAGTGTTCAGACCTGGCTGCAGCTTTTCTATTCAGCCCTCATCTTTAATTTGGATGAAAACGTTTATCACCCCACTGTTGTTCTTCTTTTCCAAGGCATTGGTTTAGTGTTGAACAGGACAGATATTTCCTTGTTCCACTGAAAAAATGTTAAAATACAGTCTGGTGCTATGAATCAGGTTTCCTCATGTGTTTTGGCTAACCCAAAGGATTGTAGTTCATCGGAGTTGTGTCTCAAATGAAAGCAGTGTTAGCTCTCTACAAAATAACATTTGCTAATGTATCCACTGCTTTTTCCTAAATTCTTGCTCTTTGGCTTCTAAGTTAAAATAAAGGGGAATTACAGGATTGCAGCTGTAATTCTGTACTGAAAACAATTTGTTCCTCTGCACAGTTTCATATACACCCTTTCATTAGCAAGCCTTGTCCTTCTAAATCACTGATACTACCAGAAGAGCTTTGAATAGATGTCTGTTATGCAAGCTAAGAACCTGCCTTTTCCAAGAATTTTGGGCACAGAACATACTTTTGGCCACTGTTGATTAAAGAGGCAAATTAATTTTGAAGCATAAACAAGCTGACATGGGTCACAGTAGCCCTTACCAATGAAAGTTTAATTAAGATGTGCTCACCTACAGATGAAGATTGTTTCTTAAGGGGTCAAAGAAGCTGCTCAGGCATATTGAAAGAAAAAAAAGTGCAAAAATCACTTTGGAGTGTGTTTGCTACCAAGAGAAAAAATATCCAAGGCTGAGACCCTGGCCTTCAGAGCAATGTCTAGGGTTGTGCAGGCCCAGGATTTTAGGTTTGGGCACTTGCAGATGTGATGTCATCATAACAGGAATATCCTTGCTTAAATGCAGATGTTTAGTTCACTTACTGACCGTAGGTAGAGGGAGTAATGCAGAGGTTAGCACAGCCTGCTTGCTCTGCCTGGAGGATAACGGGTCAATTTTGTATTTCTCCTGCAGTATTTAAGAAGATGGAGTAAAGGATGAAGTCATACATTTATCCCATCTACCAGTTAATGTCTTATTTAGACATCTGTCTTGTGTTACTCCTTCACTTTCTGCACCTTCTTTCTGTCATAACTTGCTGAGAATTTCTTAAATATGATACAATACTTTTTCTAATTTTCCTTTTTCTGGGAGTGAAGTGTGTGGAGGCCCTTTTCTGAAATCCCAGATCTACCATTTATGTTCTGCAGCCTTGGAATCTGATAACTTTGAATGAATAAATCCCACAGTGGACAGAAGTAATTTGTCCTGTTCATCACTATGAAGAAGTAGGCAAAGCTCTGATACAGAGCAGATTATGATGTTCTGTTACGTATTTTTTTGCATAACTCCCAGTTCACATGAGAGGAAATTTCAGCTTTAGACATTGAAATCTTGGGAGGGTGGTTCTTCCTTTGTGGGCTTTGGTGAATGACTTCTTGTAGCTCTGGAGTTGGGGTTTGTTTTTTTTTAACCAGCTCTGATAAATGTGTTAACCATTTGACAGAGATGCAGCCAGGTTGGCAGGTATATCTTATCTTTACCTTCTTTTGTAAAACTCATGTAGTTCTTTCAGATACAAATTTTCATAATAAAGAAAAAAAGAGTAAAGCACGTTTCATTGCTAGAAGAGAATTGGATAGATTTCTTGGAGTTGGAGCCAGTGAGCAGAGCGGTGCCTGACTCAGCAGACCTGGCTTGCAGGAATTTTGAGTGAAGGCTTTGGGTTTGGAGTGTACGTTTTCTTTTTAAACTTTCACTTGAGTCTTGTGTTTCGGTCCTGCTGCTTTGCCTGGTCAGAAATAGGGACAATAGAGTGCATTACACTTCCACATTTTGTATGTGTTTTCAGAGTGATTGCTGCTTTTCTTACAATTAATTTGAGTCAGAGGAAAAGCTGGCTGTCAGAACATGACTCCTAACCTTAAGAAAATGTGCTACTTCAAGAAATCTTAGTTGCTGTGTTGATCAGGATAACAAACATGGATTTGTTATGAAATTCTGAGCTTGGGATATTTGCAAGAGAGCTCTCTGGGTACATGAGGGCATACTCATGGGCAGATGAGGTAGTCTAGAGGGAAGACAGTTCCGGCAGCTGTATGTTGTTGCATGGGGCTGACCGTCCCTCTGGAATGACTGGATGGGGGGGGTGTGACACAGAGTGCCTAGTGCAGCTGGTCATAACTGCAAGTGTCACAAGGGGAATGGAGAATCTGGCAGGTGGCTCATCACGGCTTTGTTTGTGCAAGGCAAGTCCTGGTACGAGGTAACTTGGGACCCTTTGGTAAGCAGCAGAGAGATGAGTTTGCTTAGGTGAGGGGGTGTGAACATCTGAGCGTGGTTTGGGGCGTCTGGGCTAAGGAGCTGTTCTTTTGGGATCATTTCAGGATGCAGGATAGGACAAAGGGACTTGACATCTTCCCTTTCACAACAGACAAAAATTAAATAATCACAAGGCTGGATTTGCCCATTTCCCATATGTCCATCTGAGGTCAGTTTAAACTGTTACCTCCTTGGAACCGGAACTACATCGCTTCCTGTTCTACAGAGTGCTAAGCTGGATGTCAGCTCTCGTTAGGCAGAAAAGAGTAAGAATGCAATTAGCCTGGTGGATAAAAGGCAGGAAAAAGTCTCTTAACTATGAAAAACCAACACTTGAGGAAGCAAACCACATGTGGAGAACAAATGCTGGGGAAAAAACCCAACTGTTTGGAACAAATTCCTTTATTACTTAAATAAACAGCAGTGTAATTTGTTGGAGTGACAGTGTGAGCTGTACTGTACCCTGTATCTGTAAAAATTCATTGCTAACTTAAAAGCAGATGGCTTTATATGGCCCTGGGTGGGTTTTCTGGGAAATGTTAGTTATATACTGTGATATAGGAACAGAAATATCCTAATAATGCTGCAGCAGGTGAAAAGGAAAATGGACAGTATAAAACAAGTACAAAATATGCCG